AGTCCCTCAATCGTTGTCGTCAATCTCTACTAACGGTAGCCCCAGGAAGCGTGCAGCCTCGACGGGGTCTGTCCATAAGGACAGGGGCGTTATCGAAGTGGGATTTATAGGGCGGGCATTCGTTGATAACATCTTCGTTTAATCTGCTCAGTTATGAGTTCAACCTGCTGCAGTAACCAGAACACAGTTGGGCTATTGTGGTCCGAGGTAGACGAAGTTCTGTCTCGTCCACGTCTGGTGGTTGTATGCCCAGAATGGCATTCACGGGTCGGGAATCTACATGACTCGAGACTGCCTATCTGTGAATGGGCCTCCTCGTGCAGGTGGTGTTGCGGCGACATCAAAAGGCATTCCGTCGCCCGATGACCACACGGGCGCTACGTAGTTCAAAACCGGCCGGCCAATTGCCTTGCACGTTGCCAGCAACGTTTCTTTGTCTTTGCCCCAGGTGATGCCGGCTAGCGACTTGAGGACCTTGTTGCGGCTTTGTACTCTGTTGACAATTGCGGTGGTATGCGCCGAGAAGGAGAGCAGGCTACCGAATGTTACTCCGAGTATCTTCGGGTTGTTCACCATCGGAATTCGTGTATCATCGATGTGAATTCCCAGTTGTAGTCTGACCTCCTTCGTCCAGGTGGTAAAAAGTGTCACTGAGGATTTTGTAGGGGAGAGGGTTAGGCTCCGTGCAGTGAAGAAGGGAGAAAGCTTGGCGAGATAACCGTTTACTTTCGAGCACAAGTCATCAATTTCATTCCCGGACGCCATGATCGAGCAATCGTCAGCATAAGAGACTATCGAGACTCCCTCTGGTGGTTGAGGGAGCTTTGAAATGTAAAAGCCAAACAGTAATGGGAAAAGGACACCATCCTGTGGAACCCCGTTTTATTTTCCTAGGTTTGCTCGATTTGTCTCTTAAAAGTTACTGACGAGTGACGACCACTCAGAAAATTCGCCGACCACCGTTTGGGAGAGAGGAGGCCTCTATGTCTTCTAGTAGCGTTGAATGGCTGACAGTGTCGAACGCCTTAGACAGGTCCAGCTTTACTAGAATGGTTCTCTCACAGGGGCGCTTTCGGTTTAGGCCACGAGCTATCTGGGTGTTTATGGCGTTAAGTGCTGTTGTTGTGCTGTGCACTTAACGTAATCCATGCTGATGCTTCGTTGGGGTCAGGTGGTTTGTAAAATACGGGAGTAGCAAGGCCTTTATTGTCTTCGCGACCGGGAAAAGGAGGGTTATCGGACGATAATACTCTCCTTTGTTGACTGGTTTCCCCGGTTTGAGCAGTGGGAACACTCTCCCCATCTTCCAGACGTCTGGAATGACGAGAGTGACCATTGACAAGTTGAGGACCTCCGTTAGGTACGCTATTCCCGTAGGACCCAAATTTTTCAGCATCAGCATGCACCTTCCATCGGGTCCCATGGCTTTTGAGGCTTTCGCCTTCCCGATGGCTACCCTTACCCCACCGCTGGTGAAGACAAGAATCGCACTGGGGTTTGGCAGTTTGTGCAGCCTTCCGGTCACTCGACATTTGGCTTTATCCACCGGAGGATGCAAGATGAACTGCCGGCTAAAATAGGTCGCGCATCGCTCCGGGTCCGACGAAGCGTGGTTAAGTTAAGAAGAAGAAAAGTTGACATAGGTCCGGTGATCCGCGGAAGCAAAGTCGGCTGGTTTATCAATAGAGATGATAATGGTAGCAACTTAATTGGTTTTTTTAAACGGAAATGGTAATCGTATCTCGTCATAGCCGAGCGGTAGGACATTTACCGATCGATCTTGACTGTAGATTTCGTCTTCTCCCCTGGTTTCTGGGCTGTTACCATTCAAAAGGACCGAAAAAAATGTTCCCTCAATGATTTAATGATGACAAGCGTCTCAAGCTCTACCTCCTCAGCCTGCTAATCGCAGCGTCGCTCTGTAGACGCCGACTTTCCTCGTCAGTTTGCTGAAGAGTGCTCTGAGAGAGCTGAAACTACTAATTTTTCTACATAAAATTTTCCAAGGCCACCATTAAAAAATAAAATTACCAATAAGTGCTCATTTACACACGGCGATTTTTGTTGCCGCAACTCGACGTTTGTAGGAACGAGGAAAAGAGAGGGGCACCGAGTTGCTCGTGCTCGGGCAACACGCTCTGTGCTCTCGTTCGTCTGTGTAAATTGAACCGCTGTTCACAGCTGGCAACAACAATTGCATACACACAAATCGCCGTGTGTAAATGAAACGAGCAACACCAAAAGGGAATGTGAAAAATCGCGTCGACAAAAGTTTCTGTGCATAAACACAGTCTAAGCGACAGCAGTTTCCAGTTGCATTTTGTAATATCCATTTTGAGAGAGATGATAAAGATTGCCAAGCGAAAGCAAAATTGTGTGCCAGAGCTTATACCAAGGCATGTCCAACAAGTTTTAATGCTACAGTTTAGTTGTTGCTTCTGGTATCGAAAGTGTCAAAAACTGTTCTGATTTTTTTCTTTTAAATCAAGCGTGCCATGTGAAATACAAAAAAATTAAAAAAAATTTTAATTATAAAAAAAAAAAATTGTTGCAACTTTCTTTCTTAGTAAATTTGTTTGCTTCTCGAAGCATTGATCCATCCTTTGCAAGGCTTAGTAATCAGCGGTTGTGCTGCTGAGTTGTGCGAAAGCATCAAAAGCCGCTATTCAATCGCTTGTTTTGTATGGAAAATGGTTTGACAAATTTTAACAATTTAGAATTTTTGTGAGAAGGAATTAAAAATATTTGACATTTTCGAGACTAACTAAATTCAAAAAGATCAAATCAGCTGCTCTACTGATACTACTTACCTGTTCAATGTGTCTTGGCTTATACTTACGGTGACCATATTTATGGGAGCCGAATACGGGACAAAAAATAATTTTGCAAATTTTTTCCACAACAGCTTACAGATCTTAAAGCCTTCTTCAATGATCCTAGATGTATAGGCCCTGAAACAGTATCCTTTTAGTAACATCACAAATATTTAGGATTATTTTCTCAAGATTTTTCCCCGTAAAATTTGTTGGAAAAAATCCGTTAAATTTTAGTATAACAAAGTGCAATTTTAAGTCGCTAAGGCTTACCATTAATTTTTGGCAATTTTATTTTTTTTTTACGGTGTTACGAATTTTTTTCATACAAAGTAAGTATGTTCGACCATTTTTTTGAAAGAGAAGCAAATAAGCAGCACTTTCCACTCGCACTTTTTTATACTACAGTGTATTACAGTGAGTTACAAAATGCAAACCAAATTTTTTTCTAAAGATTGTAATTAGAAATTTGGTATTATATGGTTTTCCTTGGGAAAAGAGCTTTACTTTCATAAAATAAATAATAGGCACTAAATAACCTATGGAAAAATTACCAAAACTTACTAAAACATCACTTAAATCACCTTCATGCCATTTTAATGAGCTGTTAACAAATACAGGGCATTAAAAGAAATACAGAACATTTGGCGTCCCGTATAAAATAAATAAATTACCAGGACAATAGGTCAAAAAAGAGGACTGTCCCGTATAATACAGGACGGATGGTCACCGTACTTATACTATCAAAAAGTATCAAAATGGCGTTTACGTTCAATAATAAGCGTTTTCGTCTTTGAGAGCGAATGCTGTCATATTCCGCGATATTTAATTACTAGCCTCCTCTTTAAAGCAAATTATCGTAACTTTAGAATAATGACTGTCACAAATTTCGCGGTTAAAGGGTAAGACGCCACTACAAATTGAAAATACAGCCTTAATCTTTGGACTTAGCACCGGAATCCCGTATTTTTAGGGAGTCGAATTTTTTTTTGCATTTAAAAGTTTTCAATGGAATATATGCAAAACCTCAATATCCGCTTATATACAGAAAATTGTGTACCATTGTGAACATTAAGTATCTTTTTTTTTAATGGCATTTACATGCAATCTTAGTACTTAGAACTAATAAGTATATTCAATTTGCTTTTACTTTTTTACTTTCGATGTTGCTCGTAATATTTGTGGCATGAGTAGAAATGGGAACATATTTACATATATAGGCCCTTATTATGAGCTGCATTCGATAGCCAGCGAAGATCGAAAGTGAAATTCGTATTATGAGCTATGCAAGCGTGTCGAAATTTTCGTTGAGTACCGAATTTTCTCTGTCGAACAGAATTTTGCTTTCGATGGTGTAGCGAAGTGTTAGAAAATTGTGAAAAATGTATGATTTTGTATATGTTTTCTTACATTTTGGCGGCTACACACTAATTTTAAACAATTTTTATTAATTTCATGCAATTCTAACATCGTGAATACTAAACACAAGCTCGAAAGGTTGGTTTTACTTGTTGTGAAAGAAAATCCCAATACTCTGTTGGCACGATCTCTGAGAACAAAATCGTAGCGCTGTTGATAGTTTTAAAATATTTTAAATAGATTTGGCTCGCAAACGCCTCTTTAGATGGTCGGAACTTTTTAATGAATCCGTAGACAAATTTCTTAAATATATATTTTATATCAAAATATATTCGAAAGACTAATAAACTTAAACTCTCTTAAACATTTGCTACTCCTGGCCAGTTTACTAAGCGAATCTGACGAATCGTTGAACCAGAACTCGTTGTACTCATTTTACCACGTTTTTATAAACTTGCTTTTTTTTTTACTTCATTTTAATTAGAACAAATTTACATACATAAATATGTATAAGCACACTATTTAGTTTGCTCGATTTGTAAACAAAGCTTCATCGAATGAGCGCCATAATACCAAATGAAAATTCGTTCGCTCAGCACTTTCGACCACAGTCGAAAATCGAATGCAACTCATAATAGGGTCCATAGTATTGAGTATATAGATTCTTATGTACACGCACATACATACATACATACATGCATTTCCAAGAGATTTCTGTGGCATTAGCCAAACATTTTTAAGTTCCAGCATTTAGCTTCAAAGATGTAACGCCACAGCAAATGAAACATTCAATTTTCACATCGGGCTATTGATTTAAAGATTTCTCACTTTTTTTATTCTCAATTATACTATGTAATACACATATACACATACATACATACATATTTATATAGCACAACGCAAGCAAAGTGGAAGTCGATTTAGTGGAAAACAAATACATAATAGCGAATTCCATTTTCCCCTAAGGAATGATGATGCCACTAAACTAGAAGGCTGGAAAAGAGGAATGAAATATCTAACAAATTTCAATTTTACAGGAATGAAGTGTAGGAGTTATACATATATTTTTTTAATAAATAAATGTTTGGTGTTTGTGATGCTTGGCATAATAAATAATAAAGTAAAAAGTATTGACGCAAAAAGGCATACATATACATACATACATATAAGGACTTTGCTTACTGCAGACAAACGAGAAATTCCATGTCCAGAGCGGTGCACTGGAAAATTATACTTATACTTACAGCTGTTGAATATGATGACGATAAAAAAAAACCAATGTTGAAACTTATATGTATGTGAGACGAAAACGAAAAAAATAAATAAAATTAAACTATGTGCATTATTTAATAATGGTATGAGGTGTATTGTAAACAATTATTACTATATACATACATGTAGAAATGGTGGTACACTGAAGGCGAAGTGTAAAAAAAAAAACAAAAAAAAAATGCAATTTATGATGAATATGAATAATTACTTGTTTATTATTATAAATATAGCATAGATAATGCAAGATAAAAAATATTAAATCTATATAAAGATTATTGCAAATATATACCTAAAATATATATATATAATAAACATATGATATACAAAAAAAGTTTTTTCGAATTCCACTTATTGGGAAAATGTCGAAGGTAATACAACAACAAAATTTATTATATTGAATGGATTATTTATGAAATGAATATCCTACCACAAAGTTTTAAGCTTAACAAGTACATATGTATGTAAGTATGAGTTACGATAGGTCGGTTTTACACAGGAACATTTCTGCCAAGAGAACAACTCAGTCTGAAGGCAAGAGAGGTGAGGTAAAGTTTCTCAAAAAGTTGCTCCAGCTTCTACCCCGCATTAAAGTGACAGTTCTGCTGCAGCGCACCAACACATGCGCAACCACGAAAATGCCGCTGCGCAAGTTTCAACCCAATTTGCCATAGGGCGAAGACGACGTCGTTGCGACGTCGCTCTGGTGAAGTCGTTTGTGTGAACTCGAAACGAAGTCGTTTTTTCCATACAAAATTCAACGTCGTTTTTTCTCATCGAATCGAAGTCGTTGCGACGTTGGTCTGGTGAAGTCGTTTGAGTGAACTCGAATCCGTTTCTTCGAACCCACATGTTTTTTGAAGAAACCTTCGGCCTGGGTTGGACAAGTTCCACGCCCTCATTATTATATATCTAAGTATAAATAAAAGTAATTTATTTGTATAGTAAACCGTTTTTATTATGACATTTTTTTATTATGACAGAATATGGAATCCACAATGTACACTTGTACTCAGAAAATTAAGCCGCCTACATCTTTTTATTTTTAGTAGTCATAATATTCTTCATATTTTTTTTATTTTTTTTTTTATATATTTTTTTATAAAGGTGCAGTTCACTCTATGGACCTTATTAATAAAAAATAAAATTTGTGGGTATGAAGTTTTTTTTTTTTTAATTTGATATAAAACTGTACTTTTACTTTAAATTTGGTATAAATTTTGAGCATCGTTTTGCAGTTCGCTGGTATATCGTTTTTGCGGGCTGCAGGGGAGTCGTTTTTGCGGCCTGCCGGCGAAGTGTGCTTTTCATCCGACGGCGAGTCGTTTGCGACTCGGCCGCTGCGGTGTAGTGGTAAGCAGTGCGCGCTTCCACTCCGCTGATCCTGGGTTCAAGCCCTGGTCAAAGCAACATCGAAAAAAAATATAGAAAAAAGGTTTTTCCCTCGGCAGGCAATGGCAAACCTCCGTGTGTATTTCTGCCATGAAAAACAGCTTCTCATAAAAATACTATCACCGTTTGGAGTCGGCGTAAAACTGTAGGTCCCTCCGCTTTGTGTGACAACATCAAGGCGCACGCCACAAATCGGAGGAATGGTGGATCCAATATGGCGGACGATTTATTAAAAAATTTATAGATTGTTATGAAGCTTGCTGTCCAGAGATTTTCGGCGTCACTGATTTCGAAATTGATATTCAGTTTTCAAAAATCAAAATGCCGGACCCAATATGGCGGGCATTTCTTCCAAAATGTATACATTTTTATGAAGCTTGGTATTTACTCAATATGTATTTGACAGATTTCAATGAAATTTGGTAATTAGGGATTTTCGTCGTATCTGAGTTCGAATATCAAATCAAATTTTCAAAAATTAAAAATGGCGGATCAAATATGGCGTCCCGAACAATAGGCATTTTAAATTTTGAAAATTTAATTTCGATTTCGTAATCAAAGATAACGAGGATCTCTGAATAACAAACTATAATTTAAAAAAGTAGTCCGCCATACTGGATCCGCCATTTTGATTTTTGAAAATTTAAGATCAATTTCGAAACCAGTGACGACGAAAATCTCTGGATACCAAGCTTCATAACAATCTATACATTTTTTAAGATATCTTCTGCCAAATTGTATTCGCCATTTTAAATTTTGAAAATTTTATATCAGTTTCGAAATTATTGAAAAGGTAAATCCCTGAATACCAAATTTCATTGAAATCGATCAAATACATATGACTGATTTAAAGTAATTATTTCATGCATATACAAAAATTACAACTTTTTTTTTATTTTTTTTTTCCCACAGGTCACATAGGGACGAATCGACAATATAAGACGACAAAAATGTTTACTCCATATTGGGGATGTGGCGGATGTGGAATTTTAGACATCCGCGGATGCGGATTCGAATGCGGATGTCATGTATTTTTAAGAAATAATTTAAGTGTGTAAATTAGGTGACTTAGGTAAATAAAAAATGGAAGGGTTAGTAATTTTTAATAATCTGCCTTATCCTGAGTTTCGCCCGAAAATTTGTATTCCGCCCAAAGTAAATACATGAACACTAAAAGTGAAAAGTGAACCGGCCCGGGAAAAATGAAACTCATGATAAGACGAATGTTGTTTTTAGTACTTGAATTTAAAAATTGGAACATTGTATTTAATAAAAACTTTTTAAAGGGTCGTAAATCAAACCTGCGCCACTTTATAACTACTCGCTCTAAGCGACTAACTTGAAAAACTTGAAACTTGACAAAATTGTAAATTCATTTCGATTGACACTGCACGAGTTGAGAGGACTTTCAGTTATATTTATTTAATTTTATTGCGGTGCAATAATTACTTTCTGAGAATTTCATCGGGGCCGCAAATGTCGGATGTATCCTCCTGACTTCCATCTTCACAATCTAGCATCATGGCACGATCGTTGTTTAAACACCGTTGTTTTCCAAAGAACTCTTCATTCTCATTATTTTGGTTGTTTCGGAATTCGGAGAACCTGTCACTTCATCAGCGTTTTTCGATTTTAGTTTTTGTAACTCATTTTTTTAATGCTTTCTTCTGTGACTGGTCAGATATGCGTGTTATCAGTGCACTTGCATAATATTCTAGGGACCGAAAATAACAGTTATTTTTTTACGAGTTAAATTTGGCCTTATATTTTTTATTCCGAAATAAACGTCCTTTCCGGATAATAAACAAACTGCTTATCCAAATTAAACAAATTTGGTATCATATGAAAGAGGACTGAAATAGCTTTTAAATAGAAAAAACGAACGAAGATTACCACCTCGATTTATATTGTTTTTTTATAATTAATACTAAAGAAATTCATATAAATACATACCTGATCCAAGGTTTGTTCTATGGTTATTAATTAACATTTTTTATTGAAATACTTTTCAATATGTGTCTTTCCTCGTTTAGACATTTCAGTTTTAAAGCTATTAAGTCCTCTTTCATTTGATACCAAACTTGTTTAATTTGGATAAGCGATTTGTTTATTATCCGGAAAGTACTTTTATTTCGAAATAAAAATATTTGGCCAAGTTTAACTCATAAAAAAACTGTAATTTTCGGTCCCTCCAATATTCGCATTCGCAAAAATCAATGCAATACAATGAATATGAGAATACAATTAATTTTCGTGGTTTTCATTATAGCACGATTTATTACATTTTTTTAATCTTATTTTATTTTATTTTTTTTTTATTTATAATCGTTTCTCGATTCGAACATTTTCGTGACAATTACTGCACACTGCAGTGCCGTTTGAGTTTTTATGTACATATGTATGTAATTTTGTCACTTCTAATGTTTATAAAAATAGGTGCCCTACCAAATATTTATATTTATTGCATTATAAACTTTTCGACACCCAATATTTGTTCATGAAACATTTTCCATATCGTGTGTTAAAACTTCCCTGCAAAAATGCTACATCAGTTATATGCCAGCTTTATGAAAATTTATTACGACTGGTATATTCTTTTATAAAAATTATAGCAGACTACATTTTTAGAAAACCTTCCATCATAACATAGGGACAAATTGTGCTGATCCGCTTATAATTATAGCTGTGGGCTCAAACATATTTCAGAGTCCTGTGTGACTTGTTTGCAACTGCTCAATTGAAACTGATAACTGTTCCAGTCGTTGGACTAGTTGTAACATATTTTCCTGTGCCTTAGCTGAATTCAAGTCGTTAACATTTTCTAAGGAGTCTTCCTCGGCAGCGGCCAATTCGAAGTGTAATTTAGCTAAGCTCTCCTGTTGCTCACGTATTTTTGTCATTTGTTCCATCGTGCAGCCGGAGCCTAAACAGGACATAACTTGAGTTTTAAAATTTATCGCATGCAACCTACCTACCAAAAGCCTTTAGTTTACCGGAATGAAAATCGTCCAGAAGGCCTAAAAGCGCTCGCTCCATGTGTTTCACGTCCGGTACTTCTGAGACAAATGAGTGATGCTTAATAGGACGCTCATCAAATTTATCAAGTCTAGAGCCACTGTCGCCATTGCTGGTGTTAAGATTAGAAGGAGAAGGATCGTCGGCAATTGTTTTCTCATGTAGCATGCGCAGGTCCCCTTTATCATCGGAGCTATAAATTTGTTGGCTGTCAGTAATACCATCGCTGTTATTATGGAATATTTCGCTGCTTACTACTGTGATGCTGTTGATGCTATGATCGCTACTGCATGTTTCATCGGCCTCTTTCAGCACAATTATTAAATGTGGTGATTTACGTTTTCGAGAATATTTAATGTCCAAACGATATTAAATAAAAAAGTAAATTAAAAACAAAAAAACATAAATAATTTAAAACAAATTAAAAAATTCATACATCCATTATAAGGATATAACTGCAATTCATACGAGTATAATAATAATAATAATAAAAATTATCCACACAAAGGAACTTAATGGACGTCATCTTTAAAGATTGATATAATTCCTTGATCTGTAATAGATCACAGGAACGTGGTTTATGCAACAGTGTAAAAATGTTCATTGCTTCTTTACGAAGTGATTGAAAAACTTAGTATTTAAAAAATAAATCTCTCCAGTTCCAATACACTTTTTGCTTTATTCAAAACCGTAACTAGTTTACTTCTGTAATTATTTCACATATTTTAGGTTTGTGGGGGGTAAACCACCGACCTTTGTAAAAAGGTGGTACATATGTACAGTGATTTAAACAAGACTTCACAAATACATTTTTTTTTGTTATTTATCTGCAAAAATATGGTTCAAGCTTTAACCGCAGACATAGAACTTTATACGAAATTATGGAAAATTAAAAAAAAAAATTCATCAAAATTTCGATCTTTAAACATTTTTGGGTATGCAAAGTTTAATTAATTTTGTTGAAACTTGTATAAGCTTTGAAACTTTTATTTATGTGGTATCTGATGTAGATCGGCCCATATTTTAAATGAAAATTATTAACAATAAATAAATAAAGATAAGTTGCCAGCAGTATCATTTTGAATTTTGCTGCTATTATTTTGAACGCTACTATACATACATATTTGAAGAAATATTTGCTCTGGAAGTTGTTCTCTTGTAAAATTCGAAAAACTGGGCTTAGCAATGTTTCACCCTTAGCTGGCGGAACACTTTTCGATTGTTTTACTTTGACTTTATGAAATGCTCCTGGCTAAAATTGAACGTCCAATTTGCATATTAGTTCATTTTTATTTACATACAGAGCATAAAATCGTCCTCCTCTTCTTGTTTCTGCAAACAATTGCAAGTTTGCGGCTGGTTTACTTTTTTGGGGTTTAGCCAGATTTTTTTTTTAAATCCTCTCAATTAAGTAGCGAATTGCATAGAAATAATTCTGGTATTGCCAAGTATCGCCCTTGATTTTAATGCTGGCTGATTTCGAACGGAACTATACATAGTTGTTAAATTTTTGTCTGATAACATAAAACTTTTTAAGTTAAGGAAGTGATATTGATTTGAATAAGCACTAGTTTTTGAAAATTTTATATGTGAAAATGCTTAGGGGACGTGTAGATATAAAGTAAACTTCTTGCTATTTAACGTCAATGCTAGTGCAAATTTTAAAACATACTGCATTTAAACTAAAATAAACAATACGCAGAATGGAATGGAGACATGTAAGAAACTAAATGAATATTAAATCGATTGAAACAAAAATTAACAATGCATTGAAATGAACAGAATTGCACACTTAAACAGTACATATGTAGTAGTATGCTTAAGCTCCTTCATAAGATATGCAAAACACCAGCATCTGGCATTTAACAGTGGCTGTGAATGTACATCAAGGATACTTTAAAGGTAAATAAAAACTAATTTAATTACCTTTCAGTAGCTTTCGTGGTCGTGATTTAAAGTCGAGCCGCTCATCATTGCTACAACATCCTACGCTTGCACTTCCATGCAAATGCGGTCGTGGACGACGCTCATTTACGTATGTAACTTTAGCCGACGTTAGTTGTCCTTTTTCTGATGTGCGCTCTATGGAACAACTAGCGGAATTTCTACTACGAGTTGTGTCACCACTGGACATGGTTTTTATCTACCAAAAAAATTATTAGGCAATCAGCTTTATTTTTCACTTGAGCTTATTATATTACATTAATTTTTGGCACTGTCGGGGAAGGTGGAGAAGCTACGGATATTGGATCTGATTGTGGTATGGTCGACAGGTTGTTATGGTCCTCCTCGCCATCGATGTCGTTAGAAACTAGCTTTTGTCTTTCCACAACCTCATCATTGGTCTCCATATTCTCCTGATTTCCGCACGCAATCAATACTTTAGTTTTTAGCCCACGGCATTTTCAGCTAATTTATTAACAGATTAAAATTAAGCAAGTATTTTTCACACTTTTTTCACAATCATGCCAAATTCCAAAACAAATGAGAATCCGTATCAATAAACTAATTTGGCAATATTCATACAGTGGCTGCAAAAAACACTAGGTATGATTCCTAACTGTGAAGATACACGATCAAGAACTTGCATTCAAGCATCAAGGATGACATGATACGCAACTCTCTCACAGGGCTGCCAGACGCTTAGAGTCTAAAATGCGTACACGGACAAAAGGTGAAAAATCCGTACAAAATCCGTACGCTCAAATTAGTTTGGCGAGCAAAAAAAAAATCTAAGTGGTGAACACAGAAATCGTACTTTAAATAACATCAAATAATGCAGCACATATTTCCACTAGTCCTATTTGTTGATTGCTTCACAGACCTTATAATTTTTCTGACCAGAACTTTTTAACAAACAGTGTGTTCTTAGTTTATGTACATGTAACAAAACTTTTCAGGTAGATGGTCGACCCCACCGAGTAACAGTATAATGTTTAAAGCGGTGGTTAAAGTTGAAAAAAATAAAGAAAATTAGAGTTTTTTTTAAATTTTAACTGACAAAAACTTCCAACAATCGAAGTCTACCAATATATGGTTAAGGCTGGCTTTCATTAGGTCAAAATCACTGACATCAAAAACTACCTTCATCTGACAGCTGTTCAATTGATGTCAAATGCGTTTTCATTACATTTTAAAAACTGACCAAATGTCGATACCGCTGTGCATGTTAAAGACTGTCGTCAAATTTCGGTGTCAGTGATTGACATTCCGTTTTCATTACTGATGTCAAATGTGTTGTTAAATTTTTACAAAAAGTGTAGAATACCGACCTTTTAGCTATAGACAAATCAAAAATGTAATTCATGTTGGCAAAAATCGAAATTGTATATATATTTCCTTTAAATAGCGTTTAACAAAAACTTGTCTTAAAAATGGTTATAATAAATACGTCCTAAAAAAGCTATTAAAATTATCTTTGAATTGTCATCAATACTTTTCTAATCAGTCAAGTAGTTTCCGAGATATTAAACATATAAAAAATAAGAAAGTTGAAGTTTAACCTGTTATGTTTTCTTTGTTTTTTACTTGTAGCTAGAATCAGCTGTACCCATGGCAAACGAAATCAAAATTGCCAACATGTTGGCAAATACATTTTGATTGTCAAATGCTGCCACACGTAATTTTAAAGCCCTATAACTCCTCTTCTCATGTTTGATTTTTAAAATCGGGTTGAAAATAGTCAAGCTCTTAATAGATAAGTCCCTCAAGTACGAAAATAACGCATTTTAAAAAAAAAAAAAGTTGGGGTTCAGGAACTATAAGAAAGCTATGAGATATGTGTAAAACAGGCAAATTTTTACACACCGTACGGAAAAATCTGTACATCTGGCAGGGCTGCTCTCATTTTGCTTCCGAGAATCTAATAGGGAATTTACATGAGGCGATTTTCAGGCGATTTTTAGTTGAAAGCAACAATCGCCTGGTGTAAACAGCCTTTCAACTAATCGCTTACAATGAAGTTGGTCGGCTCCGTACTTTCGTTCAACTTTTGGTTCAACTAATCGCCTGTGAAAGTGAAAGCACTGTCAAATAAAGTTGGACTGAACAGCTGACAAGCCAAAAATAGTGAGCTGCCACTAGATACGCCCAAAACGCACCGATTTAATTTCAATGGATTTCCTGAAATCACATTACAAAATCTGGCTTAAAGATAGCGTTTTGAAGAAAATGTATTTTAAATGGTAATTTTTAACATTAAATAATGAAGAAGACAGTAAACTTCCAAAACATTTGCTAGTTTTGTTGAATAAAAAAGTTCACCAAAATTTAGTCAAGCAATCTCCCAATATCTATTTCACTCCAGGGGCAATATTGGATGTTATAAAATGCACTTTTTAACAGCGCTCTCACGCGAGAAAGAGTTTTGTATCATGTTATCTTTGTCAATCATGATTCAATAATAGATTCTTTCCCGTATGCAACGCGGGATCCCTCGGGTGCCAAAAATAGCCCAGAAATAATTCCCTTACACAAAAAATTGGTAATAGAGAGCGAAAATTGGAACGTATTGGATTCTAAGTGTCTTCATGTTCCTGCCCGAAACAGACTTTTTCTGTGGTTTTTTGCGTTCCCGTACTTATGGACTTCGTTAAATTTTTGATAGAAAATTTTTGGCTTATTCTCCAATTTCCGGATCCGGTCCGGGTTGTACGCGAAAGAACCTAATTAAAGGTTCTGACAGTTGACTCTCTCGCACCACCACCAACCAGCGTTGCGGTTTTGATACAATTTGTTATTCAAAGTCTTAAAATTTATATATAGATGTTTATAATTTTGATTTGGTAACTCTTATAAGGGAAATACAACCCGGAATTGCTTTGCATTCGCCGCTGTATGAGCTCTAAATGCTACTCTAAATTTACATTTATCCAAATTTCGTCACCTAAATGCAACTCCATCTCTTCATTAAGGGTCTAAATGCTAAAAGCAACCCTGTGATCTCCAAAAATGTCCACGATTCGAACATGGTTTCATGAGAAAAAGTAGCAAGTGATCGCCGATCGAGATTTCATTTATTTTTTTTTTTTTTGTGAATTAAGGTAACAATATGTATATATGTGCATATATATATATCTGCGTTGGTTTGGAATAGTAGCTTATGTCGGGAAGCGGGCTTTAGTATAATGCGGCATACCCTTTATTATTCTCTAAGGGCCAGTTTTTCAGTGCACGGCCGTGGTTTAAACTAATAGCGTTTTATTTTCTCGAAATAATGTTGCATTTATTCTACCCTGCGCCAGGGCTATTAAGTTTTCTCAGCATCTTCGCATGCATATTGCGTGCTCTTTCCTTAAAATGTTGCACTCTGATAATGTTGCCAAATAAGCGGTGACATTTTTTTCGAAAAAAGAAAACGCTATAAGTTTAAACGCCCGATCTGGCTGATTTAAACTAAGATCAGCCAATCAAATGTCAGCCAGCTGTTCAATTTAATATAGTTTACTTAATCTAAGTTTAAACTGGCACTGAAAAACTGGCCCTAAATGACAAGGAATTTTTAGATGAGACTTAATAAAAATATTAACTTGCTGGTATCGAAACTATTTCTTGCACGTTTATTTGCCAAAAACTCTTCAACAGATCGGCGCCAGTGAGTCATTCGCAATCGTAGGCCTTTCGATATAAGCTACTATTCCATACGAACACAGATATACGCACATGTGTATAGCTTGATGTTAGATAACTTTTCTTGACGTTTTGTTGAAACAATTTTTTATGAGTGGCAACCATGTACGGAATTTAAGTTTTTCCCAAAAAATTCCTTATCAAGTAGACTTTTTGAAAAATATGACAAGTAATTTTTAAGCAAAAAACAAAACCCACTTCAATTCTCATATACAAATTTAGGATTATCGTTAATTTGTTCATAATCGAATGATCGGATTTAAACCAAACTAGTATAGGACCACCTGTGAGGTAACACCTTTCCTTAAAAAAAAAAAAATTATAGAAATCGGTTAACGTGGTCCAAAATTATGCGTTAACATAGATTTAAAAAAAAAAAAATAAAAAAAATATTCCGACGAATTGATAACCTTGTGCTTTTTGTTACGTCGGTTAAAAATAGAAGTTTACAGAAACAATCGTTATCGCAAATTCTTGACAATTGCAATTCACTTCCGAGTGAATTTCAACCCCTGTGGCCTGTGGGATTGGCTGTACAATTTAGTTGCGAGTAGTCGATTTTGTAATCCATCTCAATTAGTATACACTACTTCTTTTCAATTACTTAACTAGTGAAAGTTTGATTATTTGATTCATTTTGATTAATTTAATTGTTTATTTAACTAGTCCTTTCTAAATTTATTTAAGCCGACTTCTTCTTGAAACCCAATGCATAGATCATTTGGACTATGCCTGCAAGTCCTATGCCGCAAAGCCCAACCGTCAAACCAAACAATACTTTGTCTACTGGTCCTCCCTTTAAGAAAACTGGAAGATCGTTATGAGCCTAGAAATAATTATTAGTTAATAAATTTAGTCTCGGAATTTTATATTCTGAAATATTACTTGAAATTTCTTCATGCTATTTGCAAGTCCATCCGGCAATGCCATTTTTGTTTCGTAAATAATTGCGTAAGTAATCCTAAAATAAATAATAAAATCAAACGCAAAATATATCTTTGAAGCACTGAGCGTTATACGTTTTTGAAAATTATTTTCGTTATTTTCTAACTCTTTAGTACAATTTCAGACCTACCAAGGAAATTTGTATCTGTATTATATATGCAGTTACTTTCGCAAGATGCAGAATGTATGTACGCGAATGATGGAAGAGATATCCATATGTAAAATTAGATTTTGGCATGCATACATGCACACTCACTATGTGCATATCGCACACTATCTTCAAGAGGGGCATAACTCAAAAAAAATGTTGATTTTTTGACATAAATCAATTCTTAGGGTTTATCTCTAGTTAATGCAAATATTTTTTTCTTCATGATTACGACCTCTAACTAGAAAACTACTGTTATACCTGATTTTGTATTAATTACGTTGAATCTGTACGATCCATAAGCAGTTATATTTTCGAGTCTGATTTTTGAGTTGTGTCTCTTTCGAAGATTGTGTGCGATATGTATGTATGTGCATATAGTGTGAACTGATTACTCGGTTTTTCTTAATTGTCCTAATTCAATGCAACTATTTGCAAACGAAACTACCAAACTAAAGGTGCTGTGAGACGTGGCAATGCAATCGCTTGTCAAAATGCGAAATTGAAAGTCTACTTTTCCGTGTACGGAGCCAGAAAGTCCTTTTTGCAAATTTGCAGAAATCACTTCGGAAATAAAAGTTGCAAGGTGTATCTGCAACTGAAATTAAGCATTTAACTTTCAAGAAATAATTGCAACTTCTCGTGCTGTACTAGCAATTTTCATTTTGGCTGCAAGTGCTGTCAAACGGATCGAGTGTTGCCGTGCGACACGATTTTTGGCGAATTTGTACAAAATTCGAAAATTGTTGAATGAAATATAAAAATATGTGTAATGAATTTATTCTATGCAGGTGACGATACTTTGACTCGGAAACAGTATCGAAAAAAGTATCGATACCTGTCCATATAAGGTACTCATTGAGTATTCCGTATTAAGTTAAATTAAAAATGCGTGTCTCTTTTTTTCTCACAAATAAAAATATTTTGGTAGCGTTTATGAATTTCCAAATAGAGTGTTTTTTTTTGAACCATTGAACATTTTCTACAGACTAGAATCGGAAGTAGGGCTTAAATTTTCTGGGCTTGGGATACGTTTAATATTTTCTAAGAATTTTTTTTTTATTTTGATTCAGCTCAATAACAGCGCTATTTGGCCCTACCCATATATGTCAAATCAAAACGAGAAAGTCTAGTACCGTTTTTGTGAATGTATTAGCTTTGATCCAATACTTTTCGTGAAAAATCCTGTAAAACTGTCAAACAGCAAAACTACTCTCTGTAGTGAGAGTAAAAAGTGAGTAACAACAAGAAGTACGGGAACAAAAAAAAAACATTTTTCCTGTAAAAACGTCAACCAGTAATTGCTTGACACTTTTCATGATTTTACCAGAAGAAAAAGTTCGTGTAAAATCTTGCAACTTCATTCTCTACACAACTCTCCAAAAATCGCTCTCATTTATAGAATTTTGGAGGAATTTGGAGTACGGTATAATTTTTCCTGTAACTTCCTGCAAGTTCGTGTAAAAACCTGTAAGTTCATGGAGCGAGATTTTCCAGCACGTGAAGACGGCCGGTTACCGAAGATTTTGTGGCCGGAAAATTGTATTACCAAAAAATTTTACCACTTCTTGTCACCGCGATTCTAGGTACGTTGGTAATGCAGTGAAAATATTCAGCAGTTCAGCTATGGGGATTTGTGGAAATTCTTGTGTTGCATATTTCACGGGGCAATATTTTGTTACCAGCTCATGAGATGGTAACCGAATTTACCGGTTACAAGAGCGCACAGAATGCGAAGAAGGTTTAAAAATTGACAGACACTTTAATTACCGGTTACAAAATTTATGTTACCAGCGCAGAATAGACCAGTAAATGGAAAATGATTTTTTATTTGCTTTAAGTTTTTATATAAAATTCAAAAAATTTAAATCATTTTTAATTTAAAATGCTTTCGTGAAATTGGCTGTTGGACATTTTATGACTGTTTTGTGCACACTTTAGCAGGTTTAGTAATTTTTTCAGGTCATTAATTTTGTTATAAGCATACAAATGTACGGCAACATAACTGAAAGTGAACTTGTCTGCATTCACCGTGTAAACAACAGACAATAAGTAGTATCGGAAAGTTTGATTTTCAGAAATAAAAACTGCCTTCGAAAGCCACTTTACATGCAAGATGTAACTGCTCTGTTTAGGAAACTCTTGACTTTGACAGACTTTTGAAAAGGACATGCACGTGCCCCGTCTAACAGCTACTTTACTTTGGAAAACATTATGGGACGGTTTCACATACAAACTGAAGTCGAGTAATGTCGTCACCTGGGTAAAAGATTGTCGAATGTTACTTTCTGCAGGGTTTGGGAAATCGATGTTAAAGAATCAGTCAAAATTTCTCAAATCTGTACAATTGTTTCTTACCAAAATTTAATGCTTGATTGTACATACTATTTAAAGTATAAAACTACGTTGTCTTTAATTTTCAGTAACTGATATAGCTTTTACAGCCCTCTTTTTATAAAATCATTTTGTCGTATGTTACATGTTCACGTTAAACGCTAGCCAGTTGTATGACATACTACAAATAACGCACACAGCAAGTAGGCATACGGCTGAAATTGTTGAAATTATTTTTTGCTTGTACGCAAAAATTTGATTCTAATACACCTGAGTTTTAAATTAATGAACAAAAATCAAAAAAATATTAAACAATTTTTCAATAAGAGTTGCCGTAGCACAAACGACTATCTATTGTATAGGATTGGTGTGATTTTGTCGTACGTACCATACTATTAGTCACCACAAAATGTTGATAGAAATTGCGCTTACGACAATCTCTTGGATCGTAAATTTTTTCTTCTTCGTGCACGAAACAGCCCGGACTTATTTTCCGAGCAGAAATGAGCAAGAAGTTAATTCGAAATAACAGCCGTTATTTGTTTACATCCGATAGTAAATTTTGTAAAATACAAAAATGGAAAATAGCACTAAAGGCTCAGAAATGTAGGTATTTGCTAATTGTATAAGCTATATAAATACATATAAAAATCATTGTTTAGAACTGATTTGTTGATTCCGGGCACAAAAAGTGTTTTTTGCGTTCCTCAAACTCTGGCACTTTTGGCACGGGTTGACATATTTTGATACTTGTGAGAGAGTAACTTATTTTTATACTCTAGTTACCGAAACAGCCCGGAAAGCATCTGGAACAAACCTTCGATCACGCAAGAACAAGAGAGTGAAACAGTCAATTTTTTAGCGGATTCTACGCACGATATAGCGAACAGACTACCGCAACCCGTACTTTGGTTTTTTCGATTTTTACAGCTCTCGATGTTCGTAAACAACGCCTCGAAAACTTTAAATGCACTGAAATTCACTACGCTTTCACCAAACTCACAGTTTTTCCCATTTCCTTTATTAAGTTTTATTGCAAATCATATATTTTCACAATTTAAAGCAATTAAATTTTACTATCGAAAAATAGAATATTAAGATAATTGACTAATCTCACATTATCTTTTATCGGCTTCGCTACTTTTTACCAAGGCGCATCCATACATATTGATGTATTGTATTGATGCGCCTTGCTTTTTACCAGCAAATGCCATCGCTGTCGGGAATGCGCAATCTTGTATTCTATCATTCTTGGGTTCTACGCCACCTCGTTTCATTGGAAAACGAAAGAGAAGTAAACAAAGCAAAGAAAACTAGAGTCCGACCGATTCTCAATTTTCGGCGGATGCCGATGCCGATTCCTTAAAGCAAAACTACCTTTAATAAAAACAAAGGAAAAACATAAACAAATAACAAAACACATTACAAAAACAATAATCATCCAAGAATCTATTCAGTTATTTGTGTACATACATAATTATGTAAAAAAAATAACGTGTCGCTTATACATAGGCTTTGTTTCTTTTCTTTTCTAGCAGATAATTATCAGAAAGAAGAAGAATGAGAAATTTGAAATAATTACGCTCACAGAGAGCGAAATAACGAAAAAGTAAAGAAACGCAATACTAGCAGAAACTAGCAAATAATCAGCTGATCGGTGTATTTGACTATTGAAAATATATGGCGCGAATTTTTGTTTATCTATTTTGATAGCTGCTAGTTTCTGATAGTAAAAATTTTACTAGCAGAAATTAGCAGGAGAACCGAATAAAGAAGAGCGTAAGAACGAGAGAGAGAGGTGCTAGTTTCTGCTAAATTTTTTGGTTAAGAAACGCTTTCCAGCAGAAATTAGTGATAATTATCTGTTAAGAAACAAAGCTATAGCATTGCAATCATGGTTGCCGTTTTGATACTATTGTATCATTATTGATAAATTTTTTTCTAAATTGTAAGATTTGATACTTCGATAATTTTATGTTCACAAATGCCCCATTTTGAAACTTTCGGCTAGCAGAAATGAATTTTCGAAAATAAGCGCTATTTTTAATAAAATATGAAGTTCATATAGAGATAAATTGCTTAATATAGCAGAAAAAAGTGATCCAGGTGGCATAGAAAATAAACTTAACTTTGCCTTGAGATGTGAGAATAACAAGCAAAACAAATTTGACAGCTAATAATCTGGGAATTGCCTGTGTACGCGGGGTGATTAAAAACGAGCTTTGATTGGGATTTTATTTATGTGTAAACATACCTTAAGTGAAAACATCGAGTGCAACCCTGAGATATTAAACTGCGGCTGTAGAGATTGAACAAAACACCGCCGTTGTTTTACGCCGCCGCCGCTAGTGGCAATTTTGGCGCACATTAGCAACAAAAACTCATTTAACAAGTGCTGAAGTAGTTCACTCATTTGTTGTTTTCCAGTTGTATATTGGTTTTCCAAATGTGTGGTAATAATTAAGTTTGTTTTCTACGATTGCTCGAGTGAAACCAAAATAAAGTAAAATATACTCATTTAGATTTTGTATTATTGTGGTCAGCTGGCAAAGTTTTTGGGTCCAGTGTAGTGTTGTTATTGTGCTTGTTCGTGATTTTGTTTTCGGTTGTGCCATTTCTTATTAA